ACGTCCGAACTCCACCTCATAGGAATCAGCTTTGTGCTGATGCTGATGATCTGGATTCTCGTCCCACGCCCTGAGCTGAGCTAACTTCTGACACCACTGCCTTACGGCACCTTTCCCCCTCGCTACCTTCAGTGAGATCGGTCCGTACGTTTGTAATAGAGTTAGATTCTCTTGTCACGGTCTGTGTTCCTTTCTCGATCCCCCGACATCCTCCATGATTCTTAAAATGTGCATACTTTAAGGTTCACTCTGCTGTAAAGTTCTCTGGGTTATGAGAAGTATATAATGTCATGTGTTCACCATTACAGGGTCATACAGAATAGTTTCACTGCCCTAAAATGTCCTGGTGACCTCCTGTGTGTCAGAGTAGAACGGTGCTCCATAGGGTTTTCAGTGGTTGATTTTTTTGAAAGTAGATACCCAGGCCTTTCTTTCAAGGTACCTCTGGGTGGACTTGAACCTCCAAACTTTCAGTTAGTAGCCAAGTGCATTAACCATTTGCACCACCCAGGAAGTCAGAATCGACTCTGTGGCAACTGTTTTTTTTTTTTTTTTTTCAGTTTAAAAATGCTCTGCTTCACCTATTGAGACACCTTCCCATCCCTTGGCGATCACTAATCTTTTTACTGTACTGGGGGCTGCCAGTTAGATCTAAGAAGATAGGCCAGATTAATAGGTCAGAATCTATGACTGTAAGTATTTTGTAAGCTTCTGATTCCCTACACTCATTAGTGTTTGTACCCTTAACACCTTAAGGACCCTGTATTTGTCTTTGAGCTGCAGGAGCCTGCATCCCACCACAGAGAGCCAGCCTGGAGAAGCAGAACCTCAAGACAGAATAGATGCTCATAACTTTAAACAAGGAAAGGAGGCAGGCTGGTCAGGGTTGTGGGTAAGAACAGAGGATTCCACGAGCTTTGGATCTTGACCCGAGATGGGACCCTGGACCTGAGAGTTCTGCTAGTTACTCAAAGGGAAGCATTCATGAGATGGTCCTGATCCTTAAGGACATGACAATAGAGAAGATAAGAGGTGTACTAAAGACTACGGTGTAAGGAGATGAGTCCTAGATGCCAGTGAGTGTAGAAAGGCCATCGGCATCCCCAGGAGGAAGAGGATGATCAGGGAGGCTTTATGGAGGAGTTGGACTCAGGAAAGAGAAATGGGTTTTCATAGATGCAGGTTACAGTGGTATCCTAGGTAGGCGTGTTCTCAGCCAAGTGCAGGGAGGGGCAAGCACGTGGCTTGTTAGGCCGTGGAAGTTGTAGTGTGTGGGGAGAACGCTGTTCTGCACTGCCCCAGGGCGCAGTGTGGAAACTGCTCACTCTGCTACTGGGGATTTATTAGGCTCTAAAATCGCACTCAGCATGGATGTTAGAGCTACATTACCGCCTCCTAGGAACCTCGGAATTACTCAGAATACGCAATGTATTTGAACCCTTGGTTATGAGTGGGCACAGGCCTGGGTGTGCTTCAATTTGGGAGCTCTCACCCCACTCCTCTTAGTTCCTGGGGACCTTGAAGGATCCAGAGTCATCCTGGAGATGGGCTGTGTGATTTGGGAAACCCATGTGATTAGGGATGCCTTTGGTTGGTGGGCTGTCATTGTCTGCCTGACTGGTCCCATGTAGGGCTGGTTGTCATGTGCATAGGAAGTTCTGATGTGATCCTAGGAGGTGACCCCAAATTATTATCCAAATCTCAGCCCACAGTAAAGATGGACTCCATTAGTAACTTATTCTAGTTCTTTTCTAAACCGATTAGAGAATGAAAAGAAGGGAAAAGTTAATGGCTGTTAAAAAGCCTTATTTTGGAGTTGAGACTCTTTCCGGAGCTATTTTGATCAAAAACAAATATTTTACTATTAATGTGACACCACTGATCATTTATTCTAACCATGCTAGGTTATGTAGTTCTGAGAAATTGATTTTGTTTGTTTAGTTTTAATTTCTTTGATTAATGTTTTGGAAATCTTGCTCTTCATAGCTGTACCCTGCCTGAGTATTTAGAAACACAGCATTGTCACGTTATTACAACCACAGAAGCTAGATAGATGTTCAGAAGATAGATGCTTATATGGTCTATGATTTGTGTTGTTCCTATATGTTGGTAGTCTGTCTGGACCTTGCCGCCCTTTCGTTCAGCTCACGTAGTTAAATTGCAGCTACTTCTCCATTTTGAAAAGATGAGCAGTGGAAATATAGGCTGGTGGCAGCCCTGCCCGATCTTAATGCTGAGGCTGGGTAAGGTAGTGTCCCGACTGCATATAATGTGTCAGTCAGATGTCCATACTCTTTCTGTCACTTTTTTTTAAAATTGCAAACACAATATATATTCATCACAGGAGAATAGAGATGTAGATAACCAAGGTGGCTGTGTGCTTTTCTGTGTTCAAGGATTAGCAGAAGGAAAGAAGGAATGGCTGAAGAGGAAGTTTTACCATATATGGGTCTAGGCATGGGGATGGATCCGAAAACGAAACGGATGAGAACCTCTGCCCTCGCAGTTGTGTAGGGTTGCTAGGAATCGGAATGGACTCAACGGCAGTGGTTCCCACCCACCCCCGTGCAGTTGCTTCAGGGGGCTGGGAGGGGGCCAAGTTGCAAATGTGAAGTGGGAGTTTCCCAGGAGGCAGCAGTACCCTCATCTGGCCACCAGGCAGCAGCCTCGTACTGTGGAGGGGAGCCTGCTTCTTGGAACCAGTCAGGGGTTTTCGATTCTAAGTCTGTGGAGCTGCCTGCTGTAGATCGGGATGTTTTAACCCTGTCCCTTTGTTATGTAACCTGCGCTGAGGTCATATATGGCTATATAGAGCGAGGGGCTCTGAAATTGCCACAGTGAGAGAGAATTTCAGGAGTCTCTGTGGCCACGGGGTCAGAATTAATTCCTACAGGTTTTTACACATAAGGCTGTAGAGATGTAACTTCCTGTCTTCTTTACCATGTTCAAGTAACATATGGTTTACAAATAGAGTAAGAGTTATAACTGCAAGGAAAATGTTTTACACCACCAATAATTTTATCTTCGTTCCTTTTTTCATTTTGTCTTGCTTTTTGTCTGTGACCATCTGCAGTATGTATTTCACACATAATTGCAATGTTTGTGTATGTATCTACAAATAATACACATTTTCATTTAACATTGTTGTAAATAGGCGTCTGCGTTGTGTTTCACAGCATAGCACTTGACTGAGAGCTGGTTTCTTGGATGCAGGGTTAATGGGACAAAGTAAAGAATTCCAGTAAAAGTCACGGATTGTACATCATGAAAGAGCAGAAAACTTGAGTTTAAGGGAAAAGAAAGAGTCCAAAGTTACTTCACCCTAGTTTCTAAGAAATATTTGTAGAGAAGCTTTGCCAGCCAATTTCATAATCTCTAACTGGTTCAAATATTTACCCTTAGGTTGTAATCTTAACTTGTAGGGCAAAGGAGCTCCAGAAAGCTTAGCAGCTCCTCTGTGTCTTTCTCCCAAGCTTTGGGACGCTGGCCCTGATAGCAGTCCCCACAGGTTTCTCCTTTGGGCTTCCCCTTGCCCTCTCAGACTCCAAGGTTACCGAGCCGCGCCCATTCTCTTTTGTCTGCTCTGAACTGGAGGAAGTGCGGTGACCTTCTTCTCCTCTAGGGTGGAGTAAGTCTCTATTTTCCAGACGCCGGCTCTTCCAGCCTCTCACACTTGCACCGGCTGCCTTCTGCTTCCCTCCCGTTTCCTGCCTTTCACATTCCCGTGGCTGGGTTCCCTTGCTCTCTGTCACTAGCTGTGTGTTGTGTCTGCATTTCATTTCGTTAGTGACATGAGACCCCGCTGTGGGCCTCGAGCAGTAGTGCTTGAGCTGGGGTTCCGGAACCAGCATTGTCACTGTCACCTGGGAACTTGTTAGAAATGTGCATTTTCAGGCCAACTCCAGACCTACTGAGTCAGAAACTCAGGTGGGGCCCACAATCTGTGCTTTAACAAGGCCTCCAGGTGATGCTGATGCGCACTCAAGTTGGAGCCAGCGTGCTAAATAAAGCAAAAGTGCCCTGGTGGCGCAGTGGTTAAGCGCTTGGCTGCTAACTGAAATGTTGGTGGTTTGAACCCACCAGCCGCTCCATGGGAGAACGATGTGGCAGTCTGCTTCTGTAAAGATTTACAGCCTTGGCAACCCTATGGGGCCGTTCTACTCTGTCCTATAGGGTCGCTATGACGGGGAATCCACTCGATGGCCATGGGTGGGGTGCTAAAGCATTGCTACTATAATCAGCGAAGGTAGACCATTAACTCTTCGCATGCATTCCCCGTTAAATCTTGGTATACATCAGCATCAGAACTGATGATTTCACACCCCTTGATATCCTTGCACTTAAGATTTTGCATTATGTATCTCTGATTTTTCTGAGTATCAATATTTCTGCAGCATGATAACATATTTTAAGTTGATAATACTTTTGATTTCAGATCTGTTGACATGAATTTGAATCATCAGAGGAGAGACTGGGAGCGGGGGGAGAAGAAGTACGGTGGAGCCCCCGCCCTGCACTCGGTCATTCTCTGGTCTTGGTCACCCAGCTCCCCTCCCCCACTGAAGGCTGCTGCAGTTGTTCCATTGAGTCAGTCCGCCAGTTGGTGGGACTTGCTTGTGAATCAGCCGGCGCTGGCACCGAAGACTCACTGTGCTGCCATCTGCTTTTTATGGAAAAGATACAAGTGTGTGCCATGAGACATTCGGGCGCTCAGCCCTGCCTTCAGTCCTTTAAATAACGCACTTTTTGAAAGTCCTGATTACAAGTCTGGCAGTAAAGTGTGGCCTTAGAAACACAAAACAGAAAACAGCAAAAAAGTGCTTTCCGCAGTGGGCTAGAACCCGGTGAGAACAGGAAAACCCTGGCTTCTAGGATATTGGTTATTCGCGGACTGTGAGGGATCAGTGCAGTTTTACTAAGAAAAGATCAGGCAAAAGAGATGCTTAGGAGAGACTAGTGGTTTGAAATATCTTGAGTATTTTTACTTCTCTTCCTTCTAGGCCTGGAAAGCAAAGAGCAAGAATTACAGCAGCTGAGAATGGACTGCGAACACTTCAAAGCACGCCTGGAGACCATGCAGGCAGATAGCGTGAGGGAGAAGAAGGTACGAGGCTTGCAGACAGAGTTCCCCAAACTCCAGGTTCATGTCATGTCCGAAAGTGGGGCTGGCTTACAGCTGTTTTTAATAAACCATAGGTCTTAGTATTTCTAGCCCTGAAGCCTTAAGAGATTGTATTTTTAAATATATGTATTCTGAATGAGTTGGAAAATAGTAGAACAATTGGATTTTTTTTTATCGTGGTGAAAATATATACACAACAAAATGCCAATTCAACAACTTCTACATGTATAATTCAGCAATATTGATTATACTGTTCATGTTGTACCACCATTGCTGTCCCTTTCCAAATTATTCCATCACCATCAACATAAACTCAGTTCCCCTAAGCATGCCTCCCTCTCCTCCCTCCCACCGCTGGTAACTACTAATCATTTTTGGTTTCTGTATATTTGCATGTTTTATGTAAGGGAGATCATACAGCATTTGCCCTTTTGTGACTGACTGACTTTGCTCAGCATAATGTTTCTAAGATTCATCTAACAATGGTATTTTGTAACCACTTAATGTGGTGATTATTTACTTGATGCCTTTTACTAGTCACTTACTGTCAATTTTTATGTTTAAAAGGTCATTCCAAAAAGTAAAGATTCATAATAAAATAAGAATATTGAAAAAAATATAGTGCAACTAGTGGTTTATAATCGGAGAGATATTCAATCAGAAGCATTTGTAGTTAATCTCGGGGATTGTTTACTGATATTTTAGAAACAACCAGTTGTGTTTTATTTTAATATTAGGGGAGACTATATAATATTTCTTTAAAATGATACATTTATTTTTTGTATGGTGTAAATTATTTCCTCTTACATAAACCTAGACTTATTCTTCCATTTCTGGTAACATTTTGGGTTTAGAAGTATTTTTTTTTTTTTTTTTTAAATTGTACTTCAGGTGAAGGCTTACAGAACAAATAGTTTCTCATGAAACAGTAGTACACATATTGTTTTATGAGATTGGTTAACAAC